TAATGTGATGTTATTTGATTTAAATAAATGCAGCCTTGGTGAGCTTATTCAGAATTTTGCTCAAACCTAAAAAGCAACACACCAAGAAAAAGAATGAGAAAGAGTGAAAAACCAGCCCGAGGCACTCAGTTTCCAGCCCGCTTTCTAAACAAGAGCCTGAAAACAGCGGTGAGTACTAGTCCACGGTCTAACTTACTCAAAGTCACTCTTCTCTTCCCTCCCCGCAGCCGCGCACAGTCACACGACTGTCAGGGAGCGCGGATCGATAACAGAGCATCTCTCACTGTGTGAATGCACCCCGGGGAGCTCTCCATCCTGAGTCTTCCTATCTCTCTCTTTCCCAGGCCAAAAAGCAAATGGATCATTTGATGGTCCCCTCCATAAGCTGCCAGCAAGAGGTAATGACAGAGCCATTGGCACCTGCCGGTGACCTACAGAGGAGCGTCCCAGTGGGGCTCAATCATTAGTGGCTCTTCACCCGAGGACATGCAGGAGAGCCAAACCGCCACACCACGGGTTTGCCAGTTTATATAAATTACTGAGAAAAGAGTGCGAGAATGGACAGATGCTGAGCCAGACAGACTGATGGAGATAAAATAGCAGAAAATAGCAGACACACGGTGTCAATGAAAGCAGGGTGAGGTGGAGGATAAATGGATGATGACAAAACTCTTACTGAGTTCATTTAATGTCGGTCACTTTGCTGTACTATAAAATTAGGGTCCAGTCGCAGGTTTACTGAGAACATTTACTGGCCGTGAATGTTTCTTACTGAGCATGAAATTGTGTTCTGCATTATTTTGATTAAAGTTCCTTTGGTAACGGAACTTTTCTTGTAAACTACTATTCAAACGTGTTGGGTCAGTAAGATTTTTATGTTATTACATAAGTTAACATGAACTAACATTGAACAACATTTCCACAGCATTTTTTAATCTTAATGTTAAATCTCAACATTTACGAATATATTTTTAAGATCAAAAATTGTCTGTTAACATTAGTTATTGGACTGTGAATTAACATGAACATTTTATAATTTATATTATGAACTAACTAACAAAGGTTAATAAATGCTATGAGAACATTGTTCATTTCTAGTTCATGTTAACGCATCAACTAATGTTAACAAATGAGATCTTATTGTAAAATGTTAACTTTGTTATGAAGAAATTGTTTTATTCAGCAAGGATGCATTAAAGGAGTCATAATGTAGTATTAACTTTGATACCCACGCTCTATTATAGTCATTTCATGCCCTTCTAAAAAGAAAAATTGGAAAAAAATAAACACAGAGCTCGTTTGACCCTTATTTCTGAATGCATTATTGTCTCGCGAGATCTAATGCGAGGTTTTGGCTGTCGTGGACGGTCATTTTAATAATGCAAATGAGGGGCGCGTTGATTGGTGGCAGGAAGGAGGGGGCTTGACACCGCAGGTAACTTCAGCATATCATTCCAAAAAGAGATCATGGCGCAAGTTGTTAAAAACCCATTTAATCCCAAATTTTTCCCAGACATAACTACAGTGGCTCAATCTTAAGTTTATCAAGCGACGAGAATACTTTTTGTGTGCAAAAACAAACAAAAATAACGACTTTATTTCAACTATTCATGTCCTTCTCTTTGGGCCTCTAGTCAGTTAACGTAGTGTGATTCCGTAGAGCTACGTCACACGTAGGCTCACTATTGGCCGACGCTGGTCATGTGCGTGATGCGTGTGACGTACAACAACAGAAGCTTACGCTGTTACACTAGTGAACTGACTCGAGGCCCAAGGAGATGGACATGAATAGTTGAAATAAAGTCGTTATTTTTGTTTGTTTTTGCGTACAAAAAGTATTCTTGTCGCTTGATAAACTTAAGATTGAGCCACTGTAGTCACTTGGACTATTTTAACAATGTCTTTAATAACTTTTCGAGGCCGGCAAGTTCAATCCCTGAATGAGCCTATGGAGGAGTGATCCAGCTCTCAGATTTCATCAAAAATATCTTAATTCGTGTTCCGAAGATGAACGAAAGTCTTACGGGGTTGGAACAACATGAGGGTAAGTAATTACTGACAGAATTTTCATTTTTGGGTGAACTAACCCTTTAAGCCTAGTCCCAGACTAAAATGCATTTTTGAGCTGTTTTAACTGAATGAAACTTGCACTAACATATCTTAAAAAATGTCAGTGCCATTGTTTTGTCTCAAGATGCACATCAGTAATTCTTTTTTTTCTAAGGCACGTTTATAAAAGTTACTTAAATGTCCTAATAGAACTAAGGCCTAATCCTGGCTTAATCTGTGAAACCAGGTCTTAATGTCTTGAATGTAGTCAACAGGTGCATAAAATAACCTAGAAGACCCATAACAACACATGGTCTCTCCTAAACCTGAGGCGTGAATCAGAAAGAATAGGACAGTCCATTTCCTGCATGATTAAAGTCTGACTGGACCACTTTTCACCGGAAACATTATCCAGTTGACACTCAACTCATCCGAGTCCAGTCTGGGGGCCTGAACTGGGACAGGGCCAGGCTCTGCATCTGGTTCTTATCGTCCGGAGCCTGACCCAAGGAGACAACCGAAACAAAGCAACCAGAAAAGCAGCCTTTGCCCAGTGAGTGGCACCTACCTGCCATCAATCAAGCCTCTGCCAGCGTGTCACACAACATAATGCACAGCATAAGCGGAAGAGGCTGTAACGGCTTTGTACACCGATAGATTAGGAATTAATCTCGCCTTGATGTCCAGCAACTGGATCTACAAAGTCCTGGAGGGATGACGTATTTTTGTAGGCCAAAAACGGCCGGCACCTCCGGTTACATCGTCTCAAAATCAATGTTTTTTTGGGTTATTGGTTAAATGCCTGAAATAAGGTCTGTGATGAACACAAGCTCAATATATTTTCAACGAAATGAAATACATCAGTGCGACTCCTTTGTGGCATTACTTGTCTTTAAAACAGCGGTTGCAAACAAGTGGCTAAATGCGACTCCAGAGGTTGTCGGGAACATTAAAAATCCTCACACAGAACAGGTAAACATATCTACACACTCGTCTGCTTTCACAGTCTTATAGTGTTTATAATCCTGCTCTTGCAAACTCTTCTAGCTCAAACTTTCAGGGAAAATCTTTTTAAACAAAGACTGAAAGAGTCGTCGGAAGCTTAGTGATGGTGACGTTGAAATCATGCGACCGTGGTGTAGTTCGTTTATAACCTACGTTCAGCTTTCTACTTCTGTCAATTGAAAAAAAAAGTTGTGTTCATGTGTGAAGATTATCACGATGGACAAAACGTATAAGAATCATAAACTTTTTTTGGGTCACAGACCTTACTTTCTGCAATAATCCAAAAGTCAATGGAAAAATCCTACTGGGAACTTCCGAGTTGGCCTACAAAAATACATCACTGCAGAACTCTATGACATGATGCTCATCATTATTACTGTGTGTCAAGGTCAATAAGTCTCATAAAATATGAGATAATTTGAGTTTTTTTAAATAATATGAAACCAACATGACTGTAAAGAGTACATTTCTAAGAGCTCATGCGTTTTAATCCAGATTTTTAAAAGATTTTAAATAACATTTTACAATAAGGTTCCATTTGTTAGTAAGGGATGCCGGTTGTTAATCGCAGAATAAACCACGACAGGATAGTCAAGACAGGATCTAGCTTCACCCGGAAGGGGTTTATTCTGCCATATCAATAAGCTGGATGTACAGTACATCATCCTGCTTATTACACGGCTACTTGCCAGATAAGTAAATAATTAGACACAAAATATTGACTTTTTTTTTTAGGTCTTTAATATAGAGAAAGCAGTTGCTAGCAAGCAGCAAGTTCAAACTAGATTAAAGGGATACGGTACAGTCATACCACTTATTACACAGCATCTCACCACATAAATAATTATGGGGATAAGAGATATTGATTTGAGATGAAACGGTTGTAAAATCTTACCCGTTTGTTATCTTATAATCCATTACAAAACTATCATTGCAAAGTGGCAGCAGCTGCGTTTGTATGAAACTAAAGAGCGACTCCGCGATACCGGATTACATAATTAAATAATTACAAAATAACAAAATATTGATTTGAGTTTTAATATTTTATTAGCGCACCAAACGCTAAACATCCACGAAGAAAACAACGTTACTAGTGAGCGTAAAGCGAAAGACTTCAGTTACCCGGATGAGCCGGTGTTATCAGTTTTTACTGGTTGTTATCGGGAAATAACACACTGCTGGATGGCGCGATTGACCAATCAGAATCAAGTATCCCACAGAGCCGTGAAATAACAAAGATTATTAAATGTATTGCTTACTGTTAGTTAATGTAACTAATAGAACCTTATTTTAAAGTGTCACCAATTTTTGTCATTGACCCAATGGCCTAGGTCAGGGGTGCCCAATCCTGCTCCTGGCGATCGACTGTCCTGCACAGTTCATCTCCAACCCTAATCAAACACACTTGATTAGGGTTGGAGATGAACTGTGCAGGACAGTCGATCGCCAGGAGCAGGATTGGGCACCCCTGGCCTAGGTGATGGAAAGTAGCAGAGCAAGTTTTTACATTTTGAAGCAATATTACAAAGAAATATTTGTTTTTTCTTTAGAACAACATGCACAGATGAATCGTTCTCAATAATATCAGGAATGTGTGTTAAAGTAAATTCAGCTTGTTGACTTTAATTGAATGTACAACCTATAACCGAGTGAAGAGTCCAACCGTTCCCGCCGGATCGGCTTCAATTTGTTTAAAATTAAAGTTCTGTGTTTAAACCTCATGGGTGTGAAACACCAAATTGGAATGGCGTTATTAAAAACATATGCTGTTGAAGAGCTTCAAATGGCTTGAAAGTCACAGCTGTTCCTGTGGCTTTAACATTGACACGCCATCCATAAAAAGGGTGAATATTAAATCCATCTTGACAGTGCGTAAAGGCTTCATAATACCTCAGCGCCTCGTTCAGGCTAATGAAGTAAACAAACCAGATAATGTGTCTGCTCACCTTCAGCTTGGAGTTATGAGTGACAGCAGGTGTTTTGTCCTCTTTTGGGGGCATGTGCAGCTCCCATTTCCCAAACTCCTTTTTAGTGTAGGGATGCGAAAAATTATTCCAGTCATCTATTGAAAAGAAAGTTACAGTTAAAAACTTCCCCTGTTCGATATATTATCTAAACTATAGATTTTGACATTTTATGATGAAAAGGTGAGTTGTTCTAGTCTGTGCAAAACTTGCAAAAACAGTGTGATGCGTTTGGTAAGATGTTGCAAGTGATTTTTTAGTGTGTCGCTCTGATATTGCTAAGGTGAATCATTGCTAGGGAAAGGAAAAAAGACCAAAAAAGTTTGACTAATCAATTGGTTTGTCATTCTCATTGAGTTCTTGGGCCTCTAACTTAAAAATAACCATTGAAACGCCCCTCGACATGGGATTCTGTAAAGTTGGGCCATATTGATTCCAGTTAATTCTAACATCAGTGACTAGCCTAATTTGACACCATTTACAAAAGGGTGGCAACTAAGAGAGGGTCAAATTGGTTTTCATGGTGCAAACTGAGATGACTGTTCTTGTTGCAAACATGTCTAATAGCTAAAGTACAATTAAATGAATTTAACGATCTAGATAATCTAGTCAACTGCTGTTCATTTCATCGTCTGCCTGGTAAAAAGCATAGGTTTAAACGCTTATTCATTTCTTTATGCAGAAATTATAAGGTGGATAAATGTAAATGGTTTAACATTGAAAAAATACAATATAATTAACAATGAAAAAAAGATCACATGATTATATTTTATATAAGCTTTGTTTCTTTTCTTTACCTATCATTAATGTATACTGTCCATTTTGTGTTACATTTTCAGATATTTAATTCTTGTTTATTGAATTACTTTAGTGTCATGCATGTTAACCTGATAAAGTTTTGTCTTAGTGTGTATAACCCTGTGCATCATCAATAAACCGTATGAGAATTATGATTTATGGACAGGCCACTTATGATGAACTGATTCATCATGTGGCTTTCTATTTTACAACATGTATAATAATTTTACGGTAACAAGCAGATTTTGGTTTGGTACATTAACATTATGGGCCCTATTTTAACGATCTGAAACGCAAGTGTCAAAGCGCAAAGCGCAAGTAACTTTGTGGGCGGATCCCGGCGCTGTTGCTATTTTCCCGGCGGGATAAATGCCTCTTGCGCCTGGCGCAAATCTAAAAGGGGTTGGTCTGAAGTAGCTTCATTATTCATAGGTGTGGTTTGGGCGTAACGTGAAATAAACCAATCAGAGCGTCATCTCACATTCCCTTTAAGAGCAGGCGCGCTTGTTCTAAAGCGGATTCCTATTATAACGGCGGATTTGCCAGGCGCGCGCCAGGAGCGGTTCACAGCCGAGGAGAGCAACGTTCTCGTCAGGGCCGTAAAACACAGAGAAGTGACATTGGGGATGTAGAAACCCACCCAAATTAACTTCTGTTAAACAGGCGTATGATAATTTGGGTAAATGTGTAAGCTACATGTATGCTTTTATAATAAATTGCCTATCTATCTATCTATCTATCTATCTATCTATCTATCTATCTATCTATCTATCTATCTATCTATCTATCTATCTATCTATCTATCTATCTATCTATCTATCCATCTATCCATCTATCTATCTATCTATCTATCGTAATAATGTATGATTTGCAAAAATGAAAACTGCTGCTTAGATGAGAGAATCAAAGTGTATGCGCGTTGTGCACACGCTACATTGATTATGGCCAAGCATGCGCCCTTAAAATAGCATAATGAACAACGCGCAACGCGCCACTGACTTTAGACTATTTTTTTCTGGTCAGTGGCGCATTTGTTACATAGAACAGCAAAATAGCAAGAGGGAAAGTTTGCGCCGGAACACGCCTCCTTTTTGCGCTGAACCGCCCCGGGGAGCGCAAGTGTATTTCTTAGTTAACCGACGTGTGTCTGTGGAGGGAAAAGCCCGCTTTGCGTGGGTGCAAAATAGGAATGATACATGTGTCAGTGTACAAAGTCATTTGCGCCGAGTGCAAGATAGGGCCCAATATATCACTTTATAGGTTGGTAGCAACAGGTACCAATATGCCATACTGCAATATCTGAAACAATATGATATGATACTACTTTATTAATCTCCAAAGGGGAATGTCACTGTATTTTAGGGTGTGTTCACACTTTGCAGGTTTGGTTCGATTAAAACGAACCCTGATGTGATTGCTCTGGTAGTGCGGTTAATTTGAATGAAAATGTGTGAACACACCCCTAATAATTTTTCTGGCGATTTTCTGGCAACCATTTAACAGGTTATTTTTTTACAGTGAAATAGCACCCAAAAAAAAAAAACATGATCGAGTAATTATTCATGTCTGTTGCACAAGTTGCATGCCAAATTAAAAAAAAAGATATGGTTATATTAGGGTTAGGGGCTCTTTCAAACCCTAACCCTAGTATGAACAATAGTAATAGTGATGCATATCTATTTGTTGTCTAATTTATCGTATATTCTCAACAACAACTAACAATCATTTGTTTATTCACAAAAGCAATGCAAGTTCTGCCATATGATCAAAGACTACATAATTTGGCCTGCAGTCTGTAAAGTCTGGCTCATTACTTCTTTAAGAAAAAACTTGCACTTCCTAATGACTAGAAAAGACAAGCAAATGTCTTAAAATCCTTCATTCCTGCACTTTCTTGGTGAGAAATCATTATGCCAGACTTCTGACAACAAAAGATTTCAAAAGAAAGGCCCTTAGTGACTGACTGACTGCATTTGGTCTTGTAGGCAATTCAGATAACCTTGAAGGGATTTTTTCGTTTTGTCTTAACCTGAACACAATGTTCTTTCATCTAGTTTAAGATGAAAAAAATGATCCGTCAAACAGAACAAACAGTCAACTACAAATTGACACAAGGTATAGATGAATAGGCAGACTAACTCTTGTGTGATTTATGAATTCTGCAGTGGAACAAAAATATCAGTACGATAACAAAACTTTCTGAATTGTGACAATGCTGAAAAGTTTTTGGCAAAAGCTTATAAAATGCTCCAATATTTGCACAACACAAAACATGAAAATAAATAAAATATTTGACCTTATTTACATAAACCTGTGTTGCATTTCGAGCATAGTTAAATGTATTTTAAGTATAGTTAAGTTATATATATATATATATATAATTAAATTAATATTTTACCTTATTATTTACATACTATATAAAACTGAGCACTGCAATTTCAGCGTATAGTACCATATTAAATAGTTTAGCCTTTAAAATATTCATTATTGATATGCAGTCATATCATACACTTGTATATTATGTTTTAAATGGACTAAATATACAAAATCAGAAAATAAATAAAATATTTTACCTTATTTACACAAAACCATGTTGTAATTCAAGCCAGTACGATACAGCTTAATATTGTAAGCAATTAAAATAATCACTATTGATGTACAGAGTCATATACACGTGATTTTAGAATGAGAAAAGACGTACTGAAGTCTCCAGTGAGGAACAGAGCCTCGGCGGCCGGGGCCCACTCCTTAAAGAAGAGGCTGTTGTCTGGCATCCGCTGTACTCCGTAACTCCTATAGCTGCTTGTGAACTGATCAAAGCCACCTTCGGCCTCCTCAAGGAGTGCGAGCTGCTTCTCAAACAGCCCATACCTTCCAAAACAAAGCAGAGGAAAACTTCTTAACAAACACGGACAGAAAAAGACAGAGTCAATCTGCTATATCTCACACAAGTTCCACAACACCAAAACATTGACATGCTATAGTAAATATATCATACCATAAAGATGCTAGGGGCGAAATACAAAACAAGTATAACCCTAAAACACAAGAAAACTGACTAAAAGAAATGTGAAAGGCCGTTAACCAAATTATTTTGCATTCAAGAGTTTAAAACTTAAACTGAATTATTTAAAAAGTTAATATTTTATACTATTTTATACGCCTCCTATTGAACATCCCCTTTGCAGAAGAACCACATTTACCCTCAGGATCGCCTTTGAAATCTCAAAGTTGAGTTTGCATTTGAAAACAGTCGCCCACTCATGTATATTGATGGAGAATGCCATTGACCTGGCATCTTTGACACACTACATTACATCACCCGGAGACACTAAACACCTAGGCACGCATCCTGTTCTTTGACTTCACTTCTGTTTTCCACCTTCTTAAACAGAAATATGGGCATCAAGCCAGCCGAAAGCTGCTGCCTGTTCGATTTTTTACAATGCAGATGAAGTTCACCTCCCACCTTCTGGCCATCAACAAAGGTGTACCACAAGGCTCTGTACTCCCCCCACCTCACTTTTTCTTGTTCACAAATATGCTAGCTTCACATGAATGCAAAGAAGCACCGGCTGTATGATGGTACAATAGTATATACATCTAATGGTACAAATGTGCCAATTTTGCAATCCATCCAATTTACTATTTGAGGAAGTTGCTTTTGCACTGGTGCCAAACTTATCAATTTATTATGTAATAGAAATCTTTAGATTTGCATCCATAAAGTAGGCTATAATCTAATGATCTATAGTACTTTCCATTTGTAAAGCATTGTGGTTAATTTGGGTTACTAAAAATGGGCATTGCCACATGAATATTTAATAAATAAAACAGATTTTGTTCAATTCCTCATCTAAAATAACTATTTTATGCATGTATAGACACACTACCGCTTTTTGTATTTATTTTTATTTAGCAAGGATGCATTAAATTGGTCAAAAGTGACAGAAAAGACATTCATAATGAAGCAAAAGATTTGGATTTTAAATAAATGCTGTTCTTTCAAAATTTCTATTAATCAAAGAATTCTGAATATCACGGTTTCCACAAAAATATTAAGCAGCACAACTGTTTTTAACATTGATAAAAAAATAAAACATCTTGAGCAGTAAATCAGCATATTACAATGAGTTCTCAAGGATTGTGTGACACTGAAGACTGGAGGAATGATGCTGAAAATTCAGCGTTGCATCACAAGAATAAATTACATTTTAAAATATATTAAAAAAGAAAATAGTTACCGTATTTTAATTTGTAAAAACATTTCACAATATTATTGTTTTACTGTATGTTTGATAATATAAATGCATCTTTGGTGAGCTTGGTGATACTTCTTCAAAAATGGTATCGACCGCAAACCTTTGAACGAGGTAGTGTATGGATACTGTGATATAAAATTAAATTGCTCATACTGTGTTCAAAGATTAGTCTAACTCTTCAGCACAGCCCCTGAAAATAAAGCACAATATCAGCTAGAAGGGTATAAATCAATCAGCCTATGTGCTAACAATAACTAATAAAAGAGGGGGTTTTTTTTAATCAAAAAAGTAAACTTTTTCTTTAATCCCAGACCTCAAACTCTCTAGCCAACAAATTGCAATAACAGGCAACTTACAATTCCTATCTGTTGCTCTTTAAAATTTCAAATAAACACAGACCATCTAATCAGAAAGACACATTAGACATGATCTTCCTCAGACAAATCAAGGAAGTTTAGTTTGGGGTCAGTCAACACCTCCTTGTTCAATTCTGCACAGCTATTACATTGGGAAAGCTACAGAGTGTGTGTGTGTGTGTGTGTGTGTGTGTGTGTGTGTGTGTGTGTGTGTGTGTGTGTGTGTGTGTGTGTGTGTGTGTGTGTGTGTGTGTGTGTGTGTGTGTGTGTGTGTGTGTGTGTGTGTGTGTGTGTGTGTGTGTGTGTGTGTGTGTGTGTGTGTGTGTGTGTGTGATAGAACACAATGATAGACACATTGTTGAGATATACCAACTGCTGTAAAGCTGCCCTCTTCCACAACTACTTCATTAAAAACAAATGATTGCAAAGTATCATGAAAATAATCATTATTAAATCATGTCACAATGCAGCAAAAATACAGGCTTATTTTTTATTCATTTATTTTACTTTTAATTTTGTGGTGAAATGTGAAATGTATTTGTAAGATTTAACTGTTCAATCTATATTTTGTATATAGAAAAGCTAAACAACCATTATATTCTATTGAGTAAAAGGGCACTTCATTAGTATGTGAAACCATGAGCTGAAAACAGCTGCCCATTCAACAGCACAAAGGCAAAAGTCTGCCTTACTAATCATCATTTAACGTATTTCAGAGCTTAAAAGAAACACGCTCATGAGTTTTTACTCAAGTTTATTTCCGTACAACCAATATTTCTGTTCCACAGCTCTACATTAAAAGTGACTTAACATCTGCTTTTGAAACGTAGATGCTCTCAACACATTGGAGAACACCTTATGGCAAATTCTCATTCTTCAAAACAATCAATAGCATTTAAGATCCCCTTTGCCACCTGCTGCTTATTAGATTCCCTGGTTGGATGAAGTCGCTACAAGATTTAAATGCAGAACCTAAACAGCTAAGCTCTCAACGGTCTGTCTAATGCCTACGGCATTCACACACAGGATGATTTTCTGCGATAAAACAACTGGAAGTCATTCGTTTTCAATGAGAGTTGCCGATTTTACAGCATGAGCAACATTTATGCAAGAAACTTTCTGCAAATGAGCGCCAACTTTTTGATAAATATATATTTCTGATATACATTTAATATATAAAAAACTATTTTTGAAGAAAAAAAATAGGACTATGCCTATTTGTAATGGCAAAATCCTTTATGGGCTGAACGATTTAGGAAATGCTTTACTGTAACAAAAATATTATTGGTTTACATTTTTACAAAAATATTATTTAAGTCTTTCTTTCTACTTCAAAATTTTCATTCAGTTACTTTCTGTTTGTAACCATTTCAAAAATCTACAAGCAATTTCTGAGTGAAAGTTGTAAGTCCTGCACCAAATTTTTGGAAAAAGTTTTTTTTTTTTTTTTATTAATTTCTCTACTTGCTAGAGATGTTGATGGAGAAAAAGAAGAAACAAGTTCTTGGATGATGCCCGAGGATGAAGAGGGCAAGCTGTTCCAGTCTGCATAGCCAAAATCTGTCAGCATCTTCACTGTAAACTTTAAACCTGATGAGCGGACAGGCCTGGCATGGTCCGACAGAACCCTTTGGGCTTGTTCATTTAGGTCTCAAACACCTTCAAAACAAATGTCAGATGACCGTTTTTGATTTTCTGAATTAATTTTGAATACATTTTGATGTTGCTTAAAACGTGGTCTCTGAATGAATGGACCCCAGGCTCACTTGTGGTATATTTTTCCCCTAGGAATGTGATAAACTATATATTCATTGGCTCTTGCTTGAGGCTGGTTGTTTGGGAAGAGGTGTGAAATATATATAAAAAATATACATTGTTGCCAATGGACAGGCAGTTTTCACATGGAAGATGACAAATTGTTAGGGTGCAACGATAAGTGCTGTGCAACTGACAGATTTTAATAAACAGACTAAATAAATACAATTTAAAATAACACAAAACTATCCTAGTCCTTTAAAAAAAAACATTGACCTAAAAATGATTTATTATGAGAAGATTATTTCTCACAGCAGTTCATTTTAAGTCTAACAGTAAATGTCTCTAAATGTATTGTGTAAGTTAAGTTTGTGGATTCACATAAAGCAAAGCTTCTGTAGTAGTGAGGCTAAAAAAAGGACAAATTCAGAGACACATCAGACCAAGAGAGGGTTTCACTGTGCTGTCAGTCTAACTGTTACTAAGTACACTAAAGCGGAGCACGCTGTCGGCATGCTAAAAGCCACTCTGAAAACTCTCTCAAATGTGTCCTCTGTAGATCACAGCCACTAGAAATCACACAATGAACAGATGTATAACAAAATGAATCACAAACTAACTAAAAATATACACTAAATGTTGTAGAAGAAAATGGCACAAGTCAACTCTTCAGAAACACTGATGATGAATTTGTCATTTGACAAACTTGTAACAAAAATGTTTGATTTGTTTGCATACCTACAGTAGTGCATTAGGCATCACTTATTAAAGGTGAACTAAGTAACTATTTTACCTTAACCGAACAGCTTTGGAGTCATTGTAATGTTTATATTACTGATTTCGTGTTGAATGGTGGTCGTCTCACACCCCCCTGGTGCCTGTGAGCCGCAAAACCACCCTTGCAACTTTGGCCGGCGAGGCGCCGGCCTCAGTATTAGGAAGTATCATGTGATATCAGGTCTCGCGAGGTAACGAATTGCTTTACGGCAAAAAACAGATCTGATAAAATTCTGATAAAATGAGCATCAAACAGAAATAACCCGGCGCCGTATACATGTGGTGTTGGGCGCGCGCAGCTCTTAAAGGGGCCATACCTTATTTCCACTCGTTACAGCTTCCATCCTACTGAACAGGTACCGGTGTACAGGGGGAGGGGATCCAGCCGTGAGTGCGAGCCATCTCTGCGTGAGTGCTATTCACGACAGTGCAAGTACTCCACAGCGACTCTAGGGGTCGCTGTTTGACAAAAACGGAATTCCTACTTAGTGCTGCTTTAATCTAGATTAATGTTAATTCAAAAATCTACTATTGTTCATTGTGAGTACATGATCAAAAGTTTGCGGTCAGTACCATTTTTGAATATATTAAAGGGGTCATATAATGGTACATGCACTTTTACAAGTTGATTGTACTGAAATGTGTGTTGGCAGTGCCTGTACACAACCATCATAAAATGATAAAAATCCATCCAGTGTTTTTGTTTTAATCTCCTTATATG